AAGTACAGCGCAGCAAGGCTAAACAAACACAAAAAGTGTGACGCACAAAACGCAAGGACGGGCCAGCAATTGGCACGAAGTCAGGCGATTGCTTCGGGGTCTGCTCTGTGCAGTTTCATAAGGCCACCGGGAAGGCCCTCACGGACAGCACAGCCGGCCAGTATACGGGCAGGGTCCTCGACCGCACCACAGCAGCAGTGTGGATCGTCACGGAGGCCCCACTTGTAGTCTGTGTCGGCGCAACGGGTCGTATCGCAGCGAAAACGGTTCATGTGAGCCCATAGGTGTCGAGGTAGGTTGAACCCAGCAACGCGATCCTCCGGGTTGGTGATCAGGTGAGAGTTCTTGGGGCTGGCTCTTTCCCGCTCTGAGCGCCATCTGTCCGCAGTGGTTGGAGTTGTTCAACGTTTCTGGATGTGAGTGCCGCGTCCAGAAGTCAGTCTCGGGGCGGGGAAGTTCCAGATGTCATCATGGATTGGGAGTTGGGGCATCTGTTTCAGTCGGTATAGCAGCTTGCGCAGTGCAGTGCCTCTTCGCGTCGGATGTTGGGAGAGGGGATGTCGGCAAGAACTGGATCCATGCCAGATTGGAGGGTCTCATGTGCCCAGTGATCGTCCGGACGGTCTGGTTTAGCCGTGTGTCCACCTTGGCACGCGCAGATTTCAGCCAAACACACAGTACTCTCCGGTCGAGTAACAGAGTGCCGACCCAGAGCTGCGCAGTTTCTGGGCATTTGCACCCCACGTAGAGCCTGCCAACTTGCCGAGGAGCGAGTTCCGACTTTTAACTTCGTGTAGTCTTTGTCGAGTGGTCTTTAAAGGTGAGTGTCCTGTCTAGGGTAACACGCAGGTAAACTGGCTTGGGGCCGTGAGCCAGTTTCTGCCCATTCATAAAGATGTTAGAGTGCATGGGACTTCTGGGCGTGGTGGAGGTGAAAACAACTCGAGACGGTCTTGCTCACTCTTGGTTTTAATCTCCATTTCTTGAAATAGTCGGCAATCTCAGACATATCACTGTTCAGACTTCGGCCGAGGAAAGGAAGGGGTCTTTGGCTCGATCGCAAAATATGAGCCGGTTCCGCTTCTTCGGGGATTCGAAGTCGTTCTTTGAAGGGACTGGACGGGCCAGAATCGTAAAAGGAGAGAAGCCAGCGGAAGTGGGAATCCCGAGCAGAGTTACTCGTCCAAAGGTTGTGTAGTTCGGGTTTCGACCGATTTGGAGCATCGCGTTCGATTTTGAGGCCCGTGAACGAATTCGATTGAACGGGGCTCGAGAGGGTCCAGAGGCGAGCAACGAAAAACGATGAAAGAACGACGATGAAAAAATGATGAAACGATGAAAACGAGGGCTTACACGCGAGAAGCGTTTAAAAAACGCTGGGGCTCTCGCTCGAAGGGGGAAGGGGAGGGGGGGGGGGGAGGGGGAGCGGGGGCGGCCTCAGCCTTCAAGATGAAGGGAATGGTCAACGTGGAGCGCGGTCGGGTCTTCCAACTTGAGCAGAACGAGAGGAAACCGGTTCGAGTTAACTCCAAGCGAGACTCGGGTTGCGGTTCTCGTCGGTAGTTGATGAGTGGAACGCATCAAGCGATGACGTAGCGACTGGCTTCAAGAGGCTTCATGCCTTCATGGACAAAAAAAAGGGAGAAACGTAGATGCAAGTGACAAGCCATAGGCGGTTGTGCGAGCACAAAAATGTCTATACTTAGCGAGTGGCAGGTCGGTTTAATGGTACGTAAACGCTGGACCTCGACACGGAACGTAATAATGGACGGAAGCGTCTCTTCACGTCCATATCCGAACCTTCATTTTAACGAAATGTTTGGAACCCTACATATCAAATAAAAAACAACTCACTGGTTTGCAGAGGTGATTCTTGATTCCCACCGGCGATGGGGAATGCTCCACATCGTATGCTTTCCCAACGAAAGGTAAATTAAATTCGGAGAAACGGAAAATTTCCGTCAGAGATTGTAAATCGTGCCATAAAATACTTTCTCGGTCGGAGAATACGAAGCAGGCACGGTACAGGACTTTCAGAAGTTCGAACGAAGAACCGTAACGTAGACTTTCGTGATTACATGGGTGTACTTGTATTTACCAAGCACTTATCAGTCCTTTCCTTCCAGGTGGGGGGGCTAGGTGGTTGAGCAGACACACAGTATCGATTGCAAGTTGCCACGCGACACGGTGGGATTGTGGGGTTCAGTCGCTTTGGGTCGTCGGTCGTGCGTGGTATTCACCTGCCTCGTGTGGGAGAAGTAAGAATCGGCCGAAAGCCTGAAAATGCGAATCGTGCAATTTTCCATTCGACATTGTTTGAAAATTCTACTGTGTATCATCGTCGCGGGGGGAGTGCCATTTTTCGTATTCTCGAGGCAGCTCGCCGCTCCCGAAAAAACTTGCGCATCTGGGTTGCGAAATCGGTGAGTACGAGGCTTGGGTGCGGAAGCGCTAGTTTTCACCTTGCTGACTGGGCTGCGTAAATAGGCGAGGCGGGACCGAGTCGGAGCCGATTTACGAGCTGGCGAAGGCCCACGTGATGGAGCGGCTCAACGGGACGTGTAGGGACGCTGTGGCGAGGGTGGAGGGGAGAGGGGCATGCAAGGAAAGGCGGCCGTTCTTCCTCAAGACGCACAAGACGGGGGGGAGTAGCGTGCAGAACGTCGTGTTTCGACGGGGCTGGATTCGGGGGTGGGACGTCCTGATGCCCCCGGAGGGGTCGTACTTGGGGCATCCGCGGAGCTTCGTTCGTGAGATGGTGGACGGGGACCTCAGGAAGGTGTTCGGGAGGTTCGACGCGTTCGCGTCTCACGCTCGGCTGAACGTGCCGGAGTTCAAGGCGGTCGTGAGGGAAGACGCCGTGTGGTTCACCATCCTGAGAGAGCCGACCCAGCTCTTCGTCAGCCTCTTCGAGTACTATAACCTGCAGAAGTGGTAAGTCGCAGCGGCACGATAGGGCGAATGGATTCGGTGGCCAAATCGGGAGGCGCAAAAAATATTCCTGCAATCGAATTCGAGATTCGGTTTTACGAGGATGTAAGAATTCCTGCACAGGGAGATCCTTAAACGGGCATAAGAAATGAAAGAGGCTTTTTCATACTTGTGGAATGACAGACATTTCCATCGCCTTGTTTGACTAAAGCTTTTCAAAGAGATTCTTCTCGGTCTCCAACAAAAAACAATTAACAAAGACTTTTGGAACTAAGTTTGAGGTTTCTCAACGGTGAATTGACTGTCACTACTGGCAGGATAAAAGAGACTTTGGAGAGCCTCCTCAACATGGACCTGGAAGAGATGAAGCGCAAGACCTCTCGTGAAAACCGCTCGACCCGACACGGCCGCAATCAGATGGCCTTTGACCTTGGACTGTCGCCAGAGTATTTTGACAATGCCAGCGCAGTTGATGCATTCGTCCGAGAACTCAACTCAACCTTTGACCTCATCCTCATCATGGAGAGATTTTCAGAGTCCCTCGTGCTTCTGCGACGAGCCCTCTGCTGGTCTGTTCATGACATGATTGCTTTCCCAATGAATCAACTCTTGAAAGGGAAACCCAAGCCCAAGGTAACTGAGAAGCTGACAGTGCTCAACAGAGCAGATTTTCAAATTTACCACACTTTTCATAGCAAATTTAATGAGGCAGTCTTAGCACTTGGAGATGAGATGCAAGATGAACTCGAAGCTCTTTCCTGTGCAACTGAAGCCTGGAGGGAAGAATGCGGGCTTCAGCGCATTAAGGGGACAGACCTAATCAGGCCAGTACGACCATATGGTCAAACCTGGGGATACTCAGTTAGTCCAAAGCACCATGAAAGCGAGGAAATCTGCTACCTTTTTGCCACTAGTGAACTCCCATTCCTCAAATTGCTTCATGCTAGGCAAACCATCAGAGCCACAAAAGCAGGGCTGTCTCAATAAAATGTGAGTCAAGCAAGATCCCACCAAAAAGTGCCATCTTCAGAGTAAAAAAATTAATAACCAACTAGGAAGACAACCTCTCACCTTCCAGTGTATTCAATTGAATCCCAACATTTACAATGTGATCATACAAGACAGTTGCAGCTTTTAACATGAGGAAGAATGAGCAAGAAAAATTTAGAACAAAACCAGATTATGAAATGATCAGTGCTTCCAACCCTTGAGACCATGAGTGAATGTGCTTGGTGGAATCATATCCAAGAGATACTGGCGTTGGAGCTCAGCTGCCTGCCGCTGCAGCTCTGCCGTCTGCCGCTGCAGCTCAACGGCTGATGATTTCCCTGCGCCAGCAGCTGAGAACAAAAGAAACCACAATGTCACCTATCAGAAAATGCATTTAGACCAAAGGAACAACATTTACTGTGAAATTTAAGGTATTATGTCCTTTCATCAGTAATGAAAGAAACCATTGGATCCAGATGAATGTACAAACTATGCAATTAAGAGTACGACAAAATTNTGCCATAATTGGAGTTCTTAGCAAAGAGGATTTACTACATTATAGGGATACAGTCAAGGATACAACATTTTTCTGTCACTAAGAACATTTTGATGGATTCAATTTTTATCTGATAGGATTTTACTGCATTGTGACATTGAGCAAAGCATATCAATCTGAATCACTTACCAGCTAGAGCTGCTAGTTGATATGGATAAAGCAAAGGGTTGAAAGGTGACAGGAGATGAGCAGGGAGTGGTTGATGTGGGGAGTGAGGGATGCTTCTTAATAGTTGCTGGTGTGCCTGAGCAGCAGCAGCCGCATTCAGCATGTGACTGCTGAAGAACTTGGGATCAGAAATCTTGGGCATCTGAGGAACCTGAGGAGGGGGTTTTTCCACCTTAGGAGGTGGAGGTGGTGGAGGGGGTGGAGCAGGTGATGGAGGCATGCATTGGGCTGGGGGTGGAGTAAGGGGGGAGTTACTCCTTGCCATCCTCTGCTCAATTTCCTGCTCCTGCTGAAGGGCCTTGACAAATGCAGACTTGAGACGGTTGGTGTGCTCTGCCTTGAGTGCTTTCTTCACAGTGGTTGTCATGCATTGCTCACACATCACTTGTGGTTCTCCACCTTGAATACAAATTCACAAACAATAGCATAAGCACCCTGATCATCCAGAAGCACATTATACTGAAGTGTAAAGAAAAGTAAAGAGGTGTTATATACCAAGACCAGCTGAATATAATGAAACTGATTGCTTATGAAGCATGAAACACTGGCCTACAATGCCAACAGAGATGGGGAGAGAATTACATTTGATAGATTGGTAACTTTCTTTGAAGATAATAAAAAAAAACGCTTTCTGATGATCACTGGAGTACAAACAAATTTTACTGCTATTGGAATCCTCAAATTTCAACAGTTGCTTTTTGAGTATTTACATGTGGAAATACAGAAATAAATACTTTGGCATGAATTTGTCTTTCATTTCATATCACCTATCCTACATGATATTGAGGCTATGGACCAATGATGGCAGCTTAAGGGGAGAGGTAGGAATTTACATTGGAGTCCTGTCTTTCATAGACCTGCTGAAATGGTTTCTTTGGCACTTTCTTTTTTTAAAATATTGGTTATCAGTCAGATCCTGAAGGCAATAAAGGCAACAAGGTCTCAAGTTCTCATCATAACATTCTTGCAATAAAGCCCTGGTAACAACTAGCAAAGTGATAAAAAAAAACTAGAACTTGTGACTGTTAAAACCTAAGGAGAAGGCAACGAATAAATTGGAGCAGATGCAAGAAGTCAAAAGCCAGATGACCCAGTATACTCTTCCCAATGCCAACCATTACCCTTACCATATATAAATGTACATGCAAGGAATGATGACACAAGAATGTGGGCTGAATTACTTGATTACTCATCTCCAAATGAAGAAACAAAAACACTGCAGATACAGGGTACATTCTCACAGAATGAGTCCAGTCCAGTCTAGTCTGTTCTTAATAAGTTCAGCCAAAAACATAGAGCCCCACTTCATACTGCATTATGCTAGTACAGTGAAATTACTGGATTTATGTGGAGTGAAGTGGACTTTTAAAAAATGCATGTTGAGCAATGAAGCATAAAAATCATGACTGCAGTAATGATAACTAAACTAGATAAGATCAGACAGGACTGATTTAGTGTGCAGGCACTCTTATGGTACAGGAAAAGATTAGGAGATATCAGGGGGTATAAATAAATGCAAGTCAGATGTAACATTATGATAGAAAACAATTTCCTCTTGATAACGAGAGCAATATTTTCTCCATGTCTGTCTGAATGGAAATAGAAAACTTGTTGCAAAGATATACAATATTCTTCCAAACAATCTTAAGCCAAGGGTACCTCACTGAACACCAAGTGATTGTATCTCATCATCCTTTCAAACATCTCCTTTCTCTACATCTCTTCCCTTTCTCATTGCAATCAATACAGCAAAACCAATTGGAAAAATAAAAAATTCCATGCTCATGACCACAAATTACAGAAAATACATTCATTTGCTATGCAAGTCAAAGTCCCGGGTGAAAAGACAAGAGAAAGGACCCACTTTTCTCATTCTTCTCTGATTTCCAAACAGAAGAGAAGTCAGTGGCACACTGTGAGCACCGGAACGGATGATCAGGCCTCTTCAACACTTCCTGACAGTC